TATTTAACAAATGGTGCTGGGCAAACTGGCTAGCGACGTGCAGAAAACTGAAACTGGACCCACACCTGTCACCACTAACTAAGATAGACTCTCATTGGATTAAAGACTTAAATTTAAGACATGAAACTATAAAAACACTAGAAGAAAGTATAGGGAAAACTCTTGAAGAAATTGGCCTGGGCGAATATTTTATGAGGAGGACCCCCAGGCAATTGAAGCAACATCAGAAATATTCTACTAGGACCTCCTCAAATTAAAAACCTTCTGCACAGCCAAGAACACAGTAAGAAAAGCAAGCAGACAGCAGAATGGGAAAAGATATTTGCTGGTTATGCTTCCAACAAAGGTCTAATAACCAGAATCCACAGAGAACTCAAACGTATTAGCAAGAAGAACACAGGTGATCCCATCTCAGGGTGGGCAAGAGACTTAAAGAGAAACTTCTCCGAAGAAGACAGACACATGGCCTACAGACATATGAAAAAATGCTCATCATCCCTAATCGTCAGAGAAATGCAAATCAAAACTACTTTGAGATATCATCTAACGCCAGTAAGATTAGCCCATATCACAAAATCACAGATGCCGGCGAGGATGTGGAGAAAAGGGAACACTTCTAAACTGCTGGTGGGAATGCAAACTAATACATCCCTTTTGGAAAGTTATATGGAGAACACTTAGAGATCTAAATATAGAACTGCCATTTGATCCTATGACTCCTCTGCTCGGTATATATCGAGAAGACCAAAAATCACGCTACAATACAGATATCTGTACCAGAACGTTCATTGCAGACCAATTCACAATTGCTAGGTCATGGAAGAAGCCCAAGTGCCCATCGACCCATGAATGGATCAATAAATTGGGTATATGTACACCATGGAATATTATGCAGCCCTGAAGAAAGATTAAGAGACTTTACCTCTTAATGTTTACATGGATGGAGCTGGAAAATATTCTTCTTAGCAAAGTATCTCAAGAATGGAAGAAAAAGTATCCAATGTACTCAACCCTATTATGAAACTAATTGTTAACTATCATAGGAAAGCTATAATCCAAATGGAGTCCAAGAATATCGGGAAAGGGGTGAGGGAGGGGAGGGGAGGGGGAGGATGGGTGAAGGGAGGGTGATTGCGGGGATCACGCCTATGATTTTTCCTGTAAGGGTACTTGTGAATCTTTCTAAATGTTGAATATAAATGTCTTAATACAACAATTATGAGAATGATATGATGGCTATGTTGGCCAATTGGATGAAAGTATTTCAAATTGTATATGGAGACAACACACTGTATCCCATGATAGAATTAATGTACACAAATATGATCTAATAAAAAAAGCAGTATGAATATGGAAAGGGGTAAGCAGAAGTAGGGCATTGGAGACCAGTCACTCTTAGTGACTGTTTTCAAGGCTAAATTTTGACTGAGAAGGTGGAGACACAGAGAAATGGAGGGAAGTCAGAGGGACGGAAGTCAGAGGGAAGTGAAGATGCTGGTGAGAGGATGTGCACTGACTACTATAATGACAGTTACCCATTTCAGCTCTTCATAACTCAGCATCAGGAAGTTCTCCCTCTCTCTCATGGACACCCAGCCGTGAACATGGTCAAACCATGACCTATATGGCACTGCATGGGGGGAAACTGAGAGAGAGAGACAGGTTAATTCCATCTTTTAGGTTCACTCCCCCACCGGCTTTATTACAATATAATTGACAACAAAAATTTGTACATATTTACAGTGTACAACACAATATTGTGATTGATATTTGCGATATTGTAAAGTGATAAGATGGAGCTCAATAACATATTCGTCATGTAGGTGTCATTATTTTGATAGTGGGAATATCTGAGATCTCTACACTTGCCATTTTCATGTACATAATACAGTATTATTAACTATAGTCACTACACTCTATCAGAGCTCTCTGTAACCTATTCATCTTTTCTAAGTAAAACTTTATATTCTTTGACCAATGTCTCTCTAATACTGCCATCCCAAATATATACATATATATATTTGTGTGTGTGTGTATTTGTATAAATATGTATATATATATATATATATATATGTCTTTCAGTATATACAAAGAGTCTCAATATACATAAGGAGCTCCCATGAACCCATTTCTTGGCTTCAATCAGTATTGTTGGACTTTTAACATTTTCCTTTTTTTTTATTAAGTCATTCATACACACATAATAAGTACATTTATGCCATTATGGGATTCAATGTGTTGATTATTTGCACAAATTGGAATGCTTACAGCAACACCTCAGACTACAAAATTAGTACTCACAAGTCTATACCCTTTATATATACCAACAATAGTCAAGGGGAAAAATCAATCAAGGACTCTATTCCTTTTCCGTAGTGCCAAGATGAAGTATGAAGTATCTGGGAGTATATCTAACAAAGGACGTGAAAGATCTCTATAAAGAGAATTAACATTTTTCTTATACCAAGAGGGCTTTATTATTTGGCACAAATAAGAAGCACATGGGATATTTCACAAAGCAGTGTGTCCTGATGTCTTACTTTCAATACACTTTATTCCATCTGTTTCCCTTTTTCTTCCAACTGTTTTATTTTAGAAAACTGCCAGACGTCACATTTCATCTTAATATTCTTCAGTGTAAGCCTCCAGACTAAAATGTCACTGTCAATGACCTTATCACATCAAATTACCCCCGCCCCGTACTATTCAGCCATAAGAAAAGATAGAGACTTTTGTGTTTATCTGCATGGAGTTGAAACATATTCTTCTTAGTAAAGGATTCCCAGGGAAAAAGAAATCCAACATACTCAATACTAATATGAAAACAGTATATAAATATCTACTTCCCCAAACAAAAGATAAAATACAAATATAGTCTGGGGAGGGGCATGAAAGGAGGGAGGGCAACTGGTGGGGAAGAAAGGAGGGCAATTGGTGAGATCTCACCTAATGAGCACAAAGTGAGGGTGTTCACCACACCCCGTGGGTGAAAGGCTCAACTACAACTTGAACTTTGCCTTAGAATTGAAAACAGCATAACATAATCATTTGTACCCTCATATTAACTTCAAATAAAAAATTAAATTAATTTTTTTTAATGCACAAGTCTTCTTTATTATCTTTGAAAAACCAATCAGTATTCAGTTTTCCTGGATTATTTCATAAATGTCTTTTCATGTTTGGTTCCTTTACATTGAGATCCAAATGAGATCCACACATAACCTCTGGCTGACATTGGCTGGTGCCAAGGAAGCGACACCTATAACCACCTCGGGGAAGAATAACAAATGGCATTACAATGCCTGCCACTAAGAGCAGGAGTCCCAGGGCATCAGCCTACTTCAAGGTTTGCAGGTATCAAAAGTGGCCAAGAAGATTCAGACACTGGATGGAGCAATGCTTTACTCACATAGCAAAGTGACACACAGAGCAAGTTTAGCTTCAATAGTGAGCATTGGACAACCAGATATGGCTCTAGGCAAATCCTATCTCCTGGAATCCATTTTCCTTTTTTTATTTTTTATTTTTTTTATTTTTTTTAGGAAAAGTCTCAGGCTAAGGTGCAGTGGTATGATCATACCTCACTGTAACCTTGAACTCCTGGGCTTATGTGATCTTCCTGCCTCAGCCTCCTAATAGCTAGGACTATAGGCACACACAACCATGCCTGGCTAATTTTTTTAAAATGTTATTTGTAGAGATAGAGGGTTGCACTAAGTTATCTATCTTAAGCAATAAGACTTCTGATTTTAAGCAATCCTCCTGGCTTGCCTTCCCAAAATGCTGGGATTATAGGTGTGAGCAACACATCTTGCCTATTCCTTTAATAAAGATTATCAGACTATTTTAAATTTTTATGTGATTTGTCAGTAATTTCTGATTGGATTGTGGGTTTTGGCTGTATTAGAGATGGAATTTCAGATACTGAATCACTAATTCCAGTCCCTTCATGGTTACAGCTGTATCCATGCTCTACACTTCTTAATGAGCCTTTTGGGGTAATACAAATGTATTCAGAAAGTGAATTATTAATTACATAAAAATTTTATTTATTTTCAGATTAATTTCTCCTCTTCCATCATTATTTCCTTTCCCCATCTTCCCTTGTTATGTGCTTTAGTTTATTTTATATCTACTAAAGTCAGATGCTTAATCTACAAACATATTATTATTTTTCAATTCAATCATTTAAGGCTATGTTACCTTCATGCACTGATATAACCACATTTCACAAGTTTCATATTTAATATATCATAATCACTACATTAAAAACTAAAAATAATTCCACTGTCATTCATTCTAGAATTATGAATTATTTAGAAATGTTTTTCTTAGTAACCATACAATTTTATTTTTGATGTATGAATTTATTGCATGATAATTAAAACATGTAGCATGCATGGTGTTGTTTTAATAGTGGTATTGATTGAGACTTATTATTCTTATATTACACAGTCCATGTTGGTAGTTGACTGATGTGTGCTTGACTACATGCATATTATGTAGTTCCTACAAACAGACTCCTACATACATCATTAGACTAAAATTGTACATTTTATTGGTTAAACCATCCATGTCCATGTTATATTCTTGTCTTCTTGGTGTCTCTATCATGCCAGAAACATGAGTAAATACTTTCTGCCAAAAGAAGGACTGTTCATTTTCTTTTCTATTATGTCCACTTTGCCTGTCTGTATTATTAGGTGCATGCATGATTATAATTGTCACTTATTCCTGATATATTGCCTTATTCACTAATATGTATTTTCATTACTTACATAATTATATGTTTCATAAATTCCTTTACCACATAATATATAATTTAATTTATATGAAATATATACTATTGTATATAATAAAGAAAGAAGACAATCAGCATGCCCCTGTTCATTGTATCTCAATTTACAATAGCTAAGATATAGTTCATTATAAGTGTCATTAACAGATAAATGGTTAAAGAAAATGTATGTGTATGTATATGTTACTATGGGTGTATATGTAGTTGTCCCTTGATACCTGCATGAAAACTCTCAACACTATGGTAGCCATTATTTTTTCATAGTTTGTCTTATAATCATTATACTACAGATAGAAGTGATTTACTCACCACCATTATGAAAAGGTATGAATTGGACTGTGTACTTATGTTTACTAGTGAGATTTAGACTTTCAAATGCCCTTTGGTAATAATTAACATGCTTTTCTTCCAGCTGAAAGAATTCTCTTCATTATTTTTTTCTTTTTCTTTCCTTCTTTTTATATCATTGAAACAGAGTCTTCCTCTGTCACCTAGGTTAGAATGCAGTGGTGTCACCATAGCTCACTGCAACACCAAAGACCTAGGATCAAGTGATTCTCCTGCCTCCCAAGTAGCTGGGAATACAGACACACACCACCACGCCCAGAGAATTTTTTAAAGTTTGTGTAGTGACAGGGTCTCACTCTGCCTCAGACTGGTCGACAACTTCTGGCCTCAAGCAATCCTCCTGCCTCAACTTCCACAATTTCTAGGATTACAGGCATGAGCCACCACAGGTGGCCTGTTTTTTCTTTAACACAAGTTTAATGGTAATGAACTACCTCAGCTTCTGTTTGTCTGGGAAAGTCTTAACCTCTTCTTCATTTCTGAAAGGCAGATTTGCCAGGAAAAGTGTTCTTGGTTGACAATATTTGTCCTTTAGTGATTTGAATATACCCCTATAATTCTACTCTCTCTTTGCCCATAATCTGCAGCTACCTTTATTGGAGCTCCCTTATGTGAAATATGGTTCTTATGTCCAGTTGTTTTCAGAATTGTCTTTGATTTCTGACAATTTGAGTGGAATACATCTTGGTGTAAACTTGTTTAGATTGAACCTGATTGGAGACATTTTAGCTTATTTAACTTAGATATTTATACCTTTTCTGAGGCTGGACAATTTTCTGCTTTTATTTTAGTTAAGTTTTATGACCCTTTCTCTCTTCCTTCTTCTTCTTGAACTTGTACTATTAGAATATATTCTCCTTTGATGCTGCCTCATAAGTTCTGTAAGTGTTTCTCATTCCTTTTAATTCTTCTTCCCTGTATTCCTTTGACTGTATGTTTGCAGCTGAGTTGCCTTGGAATTCACAGGTTCTTTGTTCAGCTTTATTTTCTCTGCTGTTGATGCTCTTGACTGCATTTTTTTTTTGTTTCATTTTCATCTCAAAAATTTCTTTTCTTTTAAAAAAGAATTTCAGTCTCTCTATTAAATGTCATGGTTTGATCACTGATTTTTTTGGGGTTTTGTTGAGATGTTTTTGCATCTTGTTGAAATTCGCTGAGCTTTCTTAAAGCAATGACATTGAATTCCTTGTCAAGCAATTTGCATATCTGCCCTTGTTTATGGTTGACTTGTTCCTTAGTGATGTCATATTTCCCTGATTTTTCTTGTCCCTTGTGACAGTACATTGGTGTCTGTGCATTTTAGATACAGGGCCATATTCCTGTCTTGCAGACTAGCTTTGTCTGGAAAAGCCATTCATCAGTCAGCCCATCCAGATATTCTAGAGAGGCTCTCTGGTGAGGTCTGTGAGCACATTTCATTTTTAACTTTGGACATGTAATGTATTGGGGGAATCATGGAACCCAGAAAATAATGGCCTTCTATG